CTCCAAGATTGAAAAATTACATATAAAGCATAAACTTGATAAAGCGTACTGCGGGCTGCTGGGGCTATACTGAGGCTACTGAGTACTACTTTACTGGGTAATACTTGTAAGCTGAAGTCGATGCCCTTGACCTTGAGTCCTGCGGCCTGTCTACAGACAAGTGGCCATAGTGGCAAAGCAGAGAGTTTTTTAGACTCTCCCTCAAGTTCATTTTTGAGTCCTATAAGTAGACAAGTAAAGTATCATGGGTAGATACCGGCATTATCATACTTAAGAAATTGGTTTAAATCTTGAGTTAGTGAAAAAATTAAAAATGAACTGATTCCAAAAAAGCTCCGGTTTGCCACTATGAAAGTGGCTGGCTGAGAGTGTTAACATGTTGACTACGAAGTGGTACATATGCATACCACGAAATGTATTTCTCCAGGGTGTAGTGGTACATAATTCAGGTTGCCTAAAATTGGGCAAATCCAAGAACAAAAAAGGCTTATAACTCAAAATATACTATAGTTTATTTGTAGGTGCCACTATAAAAATTCCATTCATTTTCTTTTTGCAGTATTTAAAATTTAATTAGGAAGTACCCCTATCATAAATATTAGCCAGCCAAGGCAGTTGAGAAAAACTAAATCACGGAATTTGTCTGGAAAAATGACCGTCTGGCAACCCTGTATAAAAACAGTACAAAAAATGAAATAATGGTACAAGATGAAGCAATCGTAGTCAATGTGTGAACACAACGCAATTGCAATCTGTACAACAAGGAAACCAGATCTGTACAATTAATTGTACAAAGCTTGAAGAGGGAAGCAAGGAGTAAAAATCAACTGGGTCTAAATGCAGCATGATCACATCTCTATGTTTTTAAAAAACCATGAAGTGTTAAACCACAGAAGCTGGCAATCAAATGTTGACAACTGTCAATCAAATATCAGCTCTGTCCAGCAGTCAAAATCAAAGTATTGCAAATGCAGTAAAGACAGTACTTACTAAATATACCAAAACTTTCTAAATTAGCAGATATACAATGAATTTCTGTAGAATTAATCAATTACTACAGTAAAGCCCAATTCTGTTACAAGTAGGAAAATTAGTACTTCAGTCAGGAAAGTAATATTTCCAGTTAGGATAAGCCATTCCAGAAATTAAGATCAAATGTTGAAAACATCTGATGAGCAGTTATTCCTGTAAAATTTAAAAATATTTTAGTTTGCAAATACACATATCATTTGTATTTAACATACTGTAAAATGGGGTAACTTAGACCACTTTTTTTTTAATAAATGATGCCATTTTTTTACTAGCTAAATTAAACTTGAATTGAAACATGCAAAATACAGGTCTATACTCTATCTTCACTCACCATAAATTGCTGGCTCCTGCCTCTCATAGTCATTATGTAATTTCAAAAAAAAGTGATGGTCTTTGTTACCCCAGCTCTTGGGGTAACTTAGACTGGGTGGTAAAATCAATTATATTTTTTGGTAAAATAACTCAAAGTAACTCCAGGTTTTGGTGCATTGTAGTAGAACTCTTCTAGTTACATATGCAAATGACAAACTTGAGGAAAGTGTCATAGTTTGCAAATGGGGGGCACTGCTCCATAATGAGGAAAATGTGACTACCTAATGGCAGCCCTGATGGGTAAATATTGACTGGCTTGGAAATTAAGTTGAAATTACCATATATAAGACTCTGTAGAGTCTGAAACATAAAGAAAAAACATAAATAGGCTGTCAAACATAAAATATGTTATATATGGTAATTTTATATCAACTTCCAAGCTGGTCTATGTTACCCCATCAGGACTGACATTAGGTGGTCTAAGTTACCCCATTTGGGGGCGGCACCCCCCATTTGCAAACTATGACACTTTGCTAAAATTTGTCATTTCCATATGTAACTAGAAGAGTTCTACTACAATGCATCAAAACCTAGAGTTATTTTACCAAAAAAGAATAGAAAAATTGGAGGGGGTACTCTGACAGGCTTTAAATAATAGCTCTTTTTTTCGTGGGTCACATTTTTAATTTTTTAACCTATTAGATATGCAAACTTTTTAAATCTTTCTATTGTGTTATGTAGCCTCAGTATTAGGCCTTTAATGCCCATTGACAAAATTTTTCTATGTCAAATAGTTTTTGAGTTGTAAGTAACAACATAAGATCTAATAAGCAAAAAGTAACACTTTTGTTACGAACGTAACACCTCTGGCTAGAGGCGGGAAAATGATGCGTTGTGAAAAAAAAAGTCGCACTAATCAAAACTGGCACCGCGTAGATTAAGGGTAGGTCGCAAATTTTTTTTCCGCGTTAATCAAAACCGTGCTAATCAAGGGATTGCTGTACTTATGGACTTGTTGCAATGCCCTGAAATGTAGATAACATACTCAAAACTGTTTCATGATAACCACTGGTAGGTTGTTGATAACATATGATAACAAACAATATGACCCACTGGTAGGTTGTTGCTGAGTTCCATAAAATTCCATTTGCTGCGAAATGACACTTGGGTGGGCCATTTGTTAACATGTTCAGTGCAGGACGACCCACGGGTGGGTGACAGGGTCTTTTTTCCGGATAAATTCTGCGATTGTTTTTTTACAATTGCGTTTGTCGACAAAAATTAATGATGGCAGTACTGCCTCATTAAAATATGAAATGTACAAAAAAAGGAAAATTGAATATTTGCACCTGAACCTACCTACAAATTTACTAGTATATTTTGAATTATAGGCCTTTTTAGCAGCGGATTTGGCCATTTTTAGGCCAGCTGCCAGCGCTGTGGGTCATTGCCGCACTCAACGTGTTAAAATAAACCCAATATTGATTGAACTCCAAATGTTGGTATTGCCATTTTTAGCACATCCTGTTTATAATAAAATATAAAGGTTTGAAATGAACAAAATGTGTTCAATGGTTATATTTGAAAAACTGAAAAAGTATATTTCTTATTTTTATTTGGAAGGTTCAGTTGGAATGCTAATAGAATCACACTAGCAGACAATTGGCAGTTTCAGGAACTGCATTCAACTTGTTAAAAGGCCAAATTTGTTAAAAGACTTTTTTAGCACTTCCTGGCAATACTTGTAAATCACAGCCAAACAAGTTTATTAATAGACAAAACTTTTTGATAAAAAATAGCTTTTTGAAGATTTGAGATTTTTTGTTCATTTTCAGACAAGTTGACCAAATTAAACTGAAAATTATGTGTACATATTAATGCAAATGCATACATTGAAGACAAAATGCTGGACCATAATTTTGATTATAATCACTTGTTTGCTTAAATCAAAAATTAACCAGGAATTTTTAAAAGCAAAGACAATATCACAATTCACCATTTCTTTACAACAGAAAACGTTTTGGAGTCCAGCTCCATCATCACTTCATAACTCAAGTCCGAGAAATTTAGATACAATCAATTGGTAAAGTAGAATCCACTATCAGGTATTAGAAAATAAACAAGCAAATTATGTCATGAAATAAACACTAGTAAACATGCCCATCTATTTACTATTTAAGGGGGAAAGGAGTTAAAGCAGCTTAAATATTTTGGCATTAATTTCAGGCTGCGCTATGCCCAGTTCGAGCTTTTTATTATTATTGGCTCTTGGCTGCAACTTTTATTGCTGTAGAGTGGTGGTTACTCTGATCCCACTTGAGGAAGAAATGCTCTTCCATTTCCTGGTTGCTCTATCAAGCGACCCATGCCCTGGTTTGTATGTTAGGTGATACCCGGTTGTTTGGTTAGGTTTTGGCTGTTACCACCCTTTGCTGATTAGGTGGTATTGATTTTGCTGTAAGATTTTGTGGCTAGGCTAGCTGGCCAGTTAGGTATTTTAGTTAGACTTCTGCTAGTTTCTGCTTTGATTGTGTTAGGTTACTCAATCAGTTAGTTCCAAGTTAGGTTTATGTTTGAAGTCCCATAGTAATTAAGTAATGTACTTGAGCAAAAATAAAATTGAACAAAAGAGAAAAAACACCTGGCAGACAGGGATGGCTGTAAGTGGAGTTGGGAGGACACTTTTTATTTAACCCCATTTGAATTTTTAAAGAACCCTGAATACCTTTCTTATTTTATTCAATAAAGACAACCCATTATATTATTACCTGTCAGGTTTCTTCAACAAATAAATTTAGCAATGTGAAATGAATACAATGTAGTATTTTGAACTCCCATGGTATCTGGTTGCTAAAGGGTTAAGGCAATTCTCGTTAATTGAGATAAGATATTAGTTTGATAAACTCCTGCATCTTGAAATAATTTTGTCAAAATGAACACGGACAATGACACAAGATGAGAAACAAGAAAAAATATATAACAAGATGAAGGGAAAATATTGTTCCAAAATAAAGGTATAAATGAGGACAGTTCTTGCATCCCAGAATTTAAAACTTATGTCCAAGATATTATGAAATGATGGGAGACAGATGTATAAAGCAAGATATGACAATATGTGATACATGTCCTTTAACATTTAAGGCAAAACTAGTTATTCCACTATAGTATGAAATGAAATATTTAAATTGTTTGAATTAAGGAAAACAAGTTAACTATTGATGAATGGCAATTTTTTAAACAAAATGATGTATTTGATCCTCTGTTCATCATTTGTTTCACTATTCATCAAGTAGTGCTTCTAGAGCATCCACAAAAAGCAGGATTTTATCTAAACTTCTTCTTTAAATATGCCTTACACTGCTTGAGAATGTCCTTGCTGGTGGTCCCTATAGTACTGATGATTGAGGTTAAAGTGTACATTAATTATTACCTATAGCAACTAAAGGTGAAAACATGTTTATTATATGTGGTCCAATAAAATTATTGCTGGAAATGTGCCATTTTGGTTGATTGGTATGGAGATCAAGCCAGTATGATGGATTCTGAGTCATAATTTGGCTCATCACTCTTAAATGTTTACCCAAATTTTATTGAAGCATATTAAAAATTGGGAGCAGAAAATTTCTAAAATTTATTGTTTGCTCCTATGTTTGTATTATATTTAAACTAGGAATTGTTTTACAGGTCATTGAATGCAAGCTATCTCTTCACCTCCTAATTTCCTTGCAGCTATTTCTTGCAATGGTAGGAGGAGCTGTAGCTACTGCCACTGTGCGAGCAGTGAAGAATAAAAGACTGATACCTACTCGTGCTGCTCTTGTTTTGGTGAGTATTTCTCTCCATCACTTTAAATTATTGCTTATGCCAGAATTTTTACTCATTCTATATTTTTTTATTGCTAAATTTAGGCTGAGTATATAATGTTTAAGGAGAATAGTTAGGTATATGCTTATTTTTTTATACTTTGCAGACACAGTCAGCAGTGGGAAGAGTGAAGCAGCTACTTCAAGACAAACCTGATGCTGTGAGAAAACTTTCCTCAAATCACAGTCCAGCACCAAAGTGAAAATGCTGGACACTGATTCTTGTTTCATTTGAAATTATTGGTATTTTTAAATTAATAGTAAGAAAATGGCAGTAATTATCCACATGCATTTTGCATATTAAAATGAGTACAGTCAGTGTTCTAAGTCTTGTATACTTCTTTGAAGATAATTAAATATACTTATAAAATCTACAAAATTTTAGTGAATTTAAAGATTTTTTCTACTTTAGAAGAACAATACGGTATATTTGCATCAATGCTCCTGATTGATAAAGAAAAAGTTTAATGTCATTATTGCAGAAATTTTGTAAACAATTTGGTTTAAAGTTGCCTTATATTGTTGAATCTGGAAGACATTTTTTTTCAGATGAAGACTTATAGGAATAATAAATAATTATTATTATTAGAATACACAAAAATGCACTTAATCAAAATAGCGATTGATATAGCTGCACTTTTCATAGCTTCAACACTTCAATCCCTATCAAACTTGATGTTCTAATTAAGTCATCATACGATAACTGTTTCCCAATTTAGGCTATCCTTCTTTATTCTCTTTTTAATCAGCTATGTGAAAATACTTTTACAGCTAGTAATTACATTCAAATCTATCAGAAGCAGTTTTTGTTCAACCTTGCTTGCTAGGCATTACCTTGGAAATTCCATTACCTGGTACAAAGATTTGCTTGTGAGGTGGCCTTCCATTAATCATTAATTTACATTATAATCATCTAATTTCCAGCCACTAACCAAAAGTGATTATAAAAAAGCTTTGATAAAAGTTTTCCCTGCTGTAATTGCTAACATTTACCAACATCTCAATTAGTAACATTGAGAGATGTAGTAATTGAGATGCTTCCAAGGAAAACTTAAGAACTCACTTCATCCTAGATTGCTTTCTGAAAAAGCTCAAACATTTGTGATTTCACAATTATGAATACTTATATTTTGGTGTTCTCACAAGATTGGCCTTCGTGTCGGTGTAAGGCAGCGAGGTTGCAATGGACTTAGCTACACCCTCGACTATGCCAGTGAGAAGAAAAAATTTGATGAAGAAGTTGAGCAAGATGGTGAGTCTCGTGCCAAGTTGCTGTCTAGAAAATTATTTTCTTGCGTGAATATCTCAATAAAATTCAGTTGCAGCGATATGAATTGAGTATAGTTATATCATTCTATTCATTCATATTATATTGGATGAATGTCAAATTGGCTTCTAAAACAAAATATAATAAACAGAAAATGTTCCCAATGTGGATACCTGTAAATTTTTACGCTATTAAAATGTATTCAAAACTGGACGATTTTGGTTTAAATTTAATTTTGGGGTATTTCATCTCGAGTCTTCATGTGGTTTATTATTGATGAGTTATAGTTATAAATTTGTTCAACAATTTCAAGAAATTTTGAGTCATGAGCTAACCATAAATATCCTGTAATGAGGAGCTTCAATTAACTGTATCCATTGGCAACACTTCAGACTGCTTGCTGCAACCATTTGTTGCACTAAGCATGTGTACTCTAATTTGTGTATTGCCTGATGTGCAGGTGTGCGGGTCATCATTGATTCCAAGGCTCAACTCACGTTGTTAGGCACAGAAATGGATTATGTAGAAGATAAGTTATCATCTGAATTCGTTTTCAACAACCCTAATATTAAAGGCACATGTGGTTGCGGTGAAAGTTTTTCTATGTAGGTCTTGTTAAGTAAGTTATTGAATTAACTAAACCTATAATGAAATTTAACATGGAGTGTTTAATTAGTATAATGGATATTGAATTTAAAAAAAAAAACGAAGATTTTCTAGTTGCGAATTATCGCTCGAGGATGTTTGTTGGGCAAGAGGCGTCTATTTTTTTTTATTGCAATTGTCTACCTAACTCGTATGCACTAAGTATGTTCAAGCATTGCTTCGACGGTTAAATATTTTACATTACTTCATTCATTATGATCAAACTTCATTTTAGCTAACTTTCCTCTGGATGTAAGTAAACCTACATAATAAACTTGACTTGGTTCAAATATTCGTGTCTTATGTTCGGCTTAGTAATTACAGTTGTTATGCAGCAATTATCACTAATGTTTCATTACGAGATTATATGATAACAACCGAGCGAAGTTCCAACTTCAACGTGACGATGTAAATATGAAATGTTATCTTTATTACAAAGAATATTAATATAATGTTTTCTGCTGTGCAACTTGTTTGACTAGCCCCATGGTGTGGTTTCAGATCCATGGTGTGTGGATACGTAGTTTCTTTCAAAAAAGTAAGCGAAACATTTGTCATCATTTATTGTTCACAATAAACAATGAATGAATACAAAACTCAGGAGTTTCAAAGAATGAATTTAACCTCATTGCAAGATTATCAACCCTCCTATTTGCCTACAGCTCAATGCAGAATAATTTGATTCTCCCTTGGAAATAAGATCATGCATAGGTAAAAACGAACCTATAAATTCGATTTGGGGAACGAGTATCATATGCTACTGCAGCATCCTATTTCTGTTGCACTTCCCGGCCAAGCTCAGCTCAAAGCTGTGGAAACTGACGCTGGCGTTACGACTGCAGCAGTCCGTTCCGGCGGAGGAACTCTTCAGTCGCCACAGAAAACTCGCGAGGGGCGGCGGTACAGGCATCGTCTGAGGGCAATGATCCCACAGCGTTGGCTCTGTAGAGGGAGAGCAACGATCCCACGCCAGTCGGTCCTGAGGACCGGTGGCCAGCAGGTGAACTCCTGAGTGTCAAGAATAAGACAAGGATTTGTAAAGGGATAAATTGTAAAATAATTCCATTTCTTTTATTTAAGCGCGAATGAAACTCGTTTCTCACAGTCATTCATAAGTATTATTCATAACTCCTAGTAATCACTTCTCTCGATCACTCAACTGATGAATGAATAATTATCTCAGCTTATAATAGATGAACAGTCGTTTCAAGCACCAGTGCCAAACCTATTCTGATGCCGAGGCTCCAAGAAGCTCAGGCCAAAATGTTGCAGCTGCTGCTCCAGACTAAGTACTTGCGTATCGCGGGCTGCCTCCTGCAAACAATATCAATTCATTACAAGGCGTTTGTTGAAAATTGTCTGATCAATGTATATGGATAAATGCAAGTAGCGCACCTCACCCATGAACAATCATGTGATGATGTTCACTTGATTCTTGAACAAATCAGCATTTTTTGGCGAGTCCTAGCTCATATTGCTGTCGGTCAGGTCTGATATGACGAAGTTGTAACACTTATTATGCGACCATGATAGTCTAGGTGTTTTGGAATTAACAACCACGTAATTGAAATTGCTGCCGGTAACATATCTTTTAATTTTATTTTTGCCTGTTATTGACATAACTTCATTTCATGTGTGTTGTAACACATGAAATGAATTAACTAATTGAGCGCATAACACCAAATGAGAGCTACAGTACTTTAATAAAGACCTAGTCTAATATAAAATTTTCGCCTTCCTTGTTAAAACTATTGCGTATGGAATATCGTGATTGATTTAGGGTACAGCTAGAGAACGCAGCGGCAGGAGAGGTTGTTACCAGCGCCCGATGATCCTGTTGCCGGGCGTGGTCGACCTGAGGTGCTGGCTCATTACCAAGCAGCTGCTCTATGTTGTTCTGCAATATTCAAATCGACAACAATAATTAGGAATTACCAAGTGTTCAAATGTATACGAGTGCAAACTTTCAGCGAATGCAGAGGTTTCCACAATCTTTACATGAACAAAGCAAAGTCGTTAGTGAATGACAAAGCTGCACTAGAAATTCACAGCTATTCCAACAGAAGGCGAAGATAAAAAAAAATGTACAACTCTGTAAATAAATTAACTTAATCAACAAGCTTATATATAAATACGAAATTCCTTACGAGACTATGAGGTTTAATCTGCAATAAATAAATTCATTCACATGGTCTCCTCTAAAAACTCTCAAAGCATATGAATAGATTAAATAGTCTTGTTATCGTCATTCCACTTAGGATTTGAAAGCAAAGAAAACATCACATTCTTTAATGAAGACGGTTCAGACACCAACTTTACCATCAGTGTTCGATTATACATTTGTAGAACCGCATAGGATTGGCAACTAAATTTATAAGATAAAATCGTATTTCGAATAGACCAGAGGCAAATAAACTCGTATTTCAAATCGACCAAAAACATTATTAATTTTTCGTCCTCTCACACTCTGGACGAAAAACAAACCGAACTTCTGAATCTCAGAATGAACTGTAATGTGATGTCAAAATTTAACAATACAGAGAAGAAAATTGAATTAGAATTGCTGTACGAATCTTTATGGAAATTATGAAATGAAAACAATTTTGAAATTAATCCCAACTTGAAAGATCAACTAAGAGCTGAAGCAACGAAACAACGAGGAACATCTAAGTCTTCAATTCTCACACCAGCTCTACATCAGGCTGCGAAAAATCTCAAGAGATAACGATCAATTTGTGATACGTAAAGCTGACAAAAGTAATTTGTTTATCATTTTGGACAAAGCTGAATATCTATCAAAAATGTGCGAAATTCTTTCCGATGACTCAAAATTTTGCCGCATCGCGCGTGACCTAACGGAACAGCTGCAAAGGAAAGCTAACAAACTGATCAGCACTGCCAACTCCGTTGTAGGATCTAGAAAGCTCATGCCTATCGTCGGGAGTTACTCTCCCGGATCCCTCTACGGAAACGTTAAAAACCACAAGAAAGGTAATCCGCTCAGACCCATTATTTCTCAAGTCACGTCTCCAATCTACAAAACAGCCAAAGAACTGGATACCATAATAAAACCCTATATCCCGAAGCAATTCTCTTTGAAATCTAGAGATGATTTTTTTGGAGATCCTCTTGCTGCACGCCCATCTGGCCTTCTCGCGTCATTTGATGTCACCAGCCTCTTCACCAACATCCCAACTCCCAGCACGTATATTCTCATCCACCTTTGCCGGCTCCACCAATACATAAGAAAACTCTCCTCGATCTTTTCGACTCTGCACTTCTGAATCACCTTTCCGGACTCCCGACAACAAAATTTACCGACAAACCAGCGGCGTAGCCAGGGGCTGTCCTCTTGGTCCTACTTTTGCTGAGTACCATCTGTGCAAAATCGAAAATCAAGTACTTTCAGATGAGCGGATGAAGCCCGAATTGTACAGCAGGTTTGTCGATGATATCTTCGTTGTCGTTCGAGATGAAGAACAACTGAGGAACCTACGAATTGCCTTCAAAATGAATTCTGACTTGAAGTTTACCTACGAGCTCGGAGAAATCGTAGTCCTTTTCTAGATATAGTCGTCCAAGCTAAAAATAATTCGTTCGTCACCAAAATATACCGGAAACCCACAGATGTCGTGAGAGTCCTGAACGCCGCCAGCAAATGCCCAGAGCGCTACAAAAGAAGCGCAATGCGTGCTCTCATCCAACGAGCTCTCAAAATCTGCTCATCTGAAAATGACTTAAATGCAGAGCTGAGAAATTGCAAAAGAATCTTAGTCAATAATGGATTTGCCAATAGAACAATCGACGCAGCAATCTCAAAACTTCGATCGAACCAGAACAGACTCAACAACAAACCAGAGACTATCGCAATCATCTCAACCATCTACTACGAGAATCACATGACCAGCGGTTATATAGCAAATGAACGAATCCTCCAATCCATCGTTCACATTAACATCGTGAACACAACTGACAATAAAATCACACTAATGATCTATTATAAAAATAAGAAAATACAGAATCTCGTAATGAGCAATAACCCCTGCAAAAAACAAAAGTTTTCTAAGAGACCAATGTAGTCTAAAAATTTTAATGCAATAGAGAAGGTTGTAGACTTCTCCCCAATATGGACTACATCGGGCTCACAACTACGACATTAAGTCGACGTCTCACGTGCCACCTTCAGTCTGGTGGACCAAAGAACCACCTGATGGGAGCCCACAACGAGACCATCACTCGTACGGTGCTGGAAGAATGCACCAGCGTCGTCATGAGATGCCCCGACGCCAACCGACTCATGATAGCTGAAGCCCTCATCATTAAGGATGGGACCCCAGCCATCAACCTACAAGCTACTGGATTTGTCAGAACCTTGAGACTGTTTTCGGAGTAATTTTGGTGTTTTGATTTTGTTCATCTTAATATTTTCGTGACTAGGCATTATTTCTAACCAATTCTATTTTCTGAGTAGTATCCAATTTACATGATTTTGTACTTATGTCGATCCAAATATCGTCACTCAATGCCTCTTTTAACTTGATAATGAATGATTGAAACATTCGAAACGTCGTTAACGAAATAAAAATGTCCATCGGTACCCTGATTTTCGATTTACCTGTGCAAATGAAAAATATTGTTCGATTTGTTGAAAAAACTAATAAGAAAATTGTCAATAAAACAAATTCTCTGGTCTTTAATGAAACCTGCCTAAATGATGTATTCATAGCTGAAGAAATTAAGAATTTGAAAATTATTGACTAATCGTAAGTGAGGTTTGGAATTCCTAAGTTTGTTTTGTGAATAAAAAGTCTAATTTACATGAATGCAGATTTTCATGCCAGAGCATCGAAACGAAAGTAAAATATGTTTTCAACATAAATATTGCAGATCCTCCATCAAAACAGGAAGCTCGTCTTAGTAACAATTTTAGCGTTATTCTGCTTGCATCTTGTACTAGATAGGCTTATCCGTTCATGTCCATTCCGTGTTAGTGCGTCTATTTAAATAAATTGAGGTACAAATTTACATTGTACGTTTTATTCCCCGATTTTAACATACCCGGCGTCTCCAAAGATGTTCTTTAATCTCTTTCATGTTCCTAGTACTACTGCAATCGTTACTGTGAGCATCCAATCATAATTATAATATTTTAAAAAGCGCAGTAACTTACAGAAAACGTGGTTACAGCTACATGTGTATTATCGTAGCTCCATTAATTTCTAAAATCAAGACATACAACTCTCACCATGACGTTGCGGTAGATTGTTACGCCAGTTTTAGGTTTGCCACACTGAGGAGCGTCTGAGGTATCCCTGCACTCTGCTGCAGGAGACGCCGACTTGAGCGCTGCGTGGTCGCGGCGCAAGGGAGCGTCAGGTCCGTTGTAGCAGCCGCGGTTTGGAGCGCCCGCAAACTTGTGAGGCGTGACAGCGTTCACAATTTGTTCCGCTCCTATATACAGATTAAACAGTGAATAAGACAATGCTGAATATTTATAATGAATGATATCTAAGTAAACCGAGATCTTAAAACGTGAGCTGTTTAACTGTTTATGAGCAATTTACTTGCATGCATCGCAGCAGCAACGAGCACCAATAGTGATCACATGAATATACACACAAAAAGGCTATTAATATACAAATCTTGGACAAAACAAACAAGATCGTCAATAAAACGTAAAAAAATCATTAGTCAAATATCTAAAAAATTGCAAATTTACGGAATAAGAGTTGAAGTGCTCGAGCCAAATCTTGAAAAATCTTGTAAATCAGTTTCAAGAGAGCTATTGTTTTCTTAAAACCACATCCAGTATTAACTCAGTTGAGGACATGTAATACCGCATTTGAGTTAGCTGCTACGCACATTTGTTTGCTGTCGACGTGTCACATTTGCTCAGCAATGTTATAACATAATAAGATAGATGGAAAAGTTACTCTAATCCACTCCACACTAACACCTCGGCGTTGAGGCTTCAATCACCCACTCCAGCAGCCTATCACTCCTCGGCTCTTTTAGAGTCAAACTCATGAAGAACAAAGTTCTTCATTTCGAAACTAAAATCGAAGGTCAGCCAAACTACAAAGTAATTATGCACGAGATATATAATGAAATGACTCACGTCGAGCCGTCATGGCAATCTTGCCCTCAGGCCTGCAGTCCCAGGCTGCCCTCGCTCCGCCCGGCCTACGAAGTTCTGGGTTGCTGTGAAGAGAACTGTAGCATAAACAACTTACGACTGCAAATTGTTCTCTTAACTGACAGATCAACGCTCGAGATCATCCACATAAATCGAATGTGAAGCAGTGGTAACAGCTGATTATATGATACATTTTATATTGCCAAAATGGAATGCTAAGTTAAGAGTTCAATTGTCTACTAAGAGTTCAATTGTTCAATTAATGAAATGAAAATTTGAGGAGATTTTAATTTAAAGTAGTCCAAAGAAAAATAATTAAAGCCAAAAACTTTGTGAATCAATGACTATAAGAAGATAAAAAAAAAAGCCCATCAATTGATAGAGGAAGATTTTTCAAGAAAAGTGGTCTTGAGTTCCTAAGAAAGCATATATATTCTCACTTGTGTGCTGGAGGCAGAATTGTGTCACCGGGGTAGTCGGACAGATCGAGATGGAGGCTCTCTTGCGGACTGCCTGGGTCCTCCTCTATTGTTGTAAGCACGACTTCCCTCAGAGTAAGCGACACCTCCCGGTGGTTATTGCCATTGTAAGCACAACTGTTGCCATTGTTTCTTGCGCGAGGCGCTCCTCGTTCAGGACATTCAGAATCTGTTTTAGAATTCGAGTGAGTATATTTCGGGGAAGAGTTTCCCTTTTCACTGGCCTGCTGGAGTCTTACATCGTTTTTTAATTCATTGCGGTTAATTGCTTGCTCCTGAAGTACATTAACTTGATGTGTTTTGGTGGTTGTTACCGTACGTGCATTGTCCCTAATGCGATCGGTGTCAGTGTCAAACCGTACTGATGAAATATTGGAACTTTTGTGCATCAACATTGATTTAGCAGAAGTTGAGTTTTTCAAGATTGTTGAAGGTCTGTCTTCACCTCTTAAATGGTCTTCTCTCTTCAGATACTGGCTGTTGTGGAGCAACTGCAGCATATCTGATAGTTCAATATCAGTATTTGTTGCCACATCACAGTACTGTCGACCTTTTTCAAAACTACATTCAGTTTGTGTTGAAATTTCTCGGTACACAAGAGATTTGGGTGAAAGTGACACAGAAGAATTTTGACTGTAGATGCGATCACGCGTCTCATTCTTCGACAAAATCGTTTCTAAAACTTTGTGCAGCTGAAAAATTTGCTGATCTTTACCTTCGATGATTTTTTGGAGGAATGGGTCAGGACTGTTGACCGCCATAGGTGACAGTTCTGTACGGCCTCGATATGGGATAATTTCGTACTCATTATTTCTTCCTTGTTGGGCAGTGGAGTTTTTGGAATAGTTGTACCTGTACTCAGGAGTGCAGTTTTCTTGGTTTGACCTCCAGGAGTTTTGGCTTTCGACGGGGGAAGCATCAAAATCTACAGCTCTTGGCACGATTGTTCTAGGCCCAGCGCGTGCTGCCACTGGAGTCGAGTCACTAACTTTGTAACAATAAATATTTCTTTCCTGTAAAGGTTTCTTTTCCGAACTATACAGAAGAGGATTATAAACAGCAGTTTTCTCTGTAGTTTCCTTGAATTTAGAATTCTGAAAATGTAGGTCGTGAGCATGCATTTGTTGATTTTCAGCTTGAAGACTGCTTTGCTGGATGGGCGGTGCCTTGCAACGTTCCGGATTATAAATTTGATTACCTAGACGTTCAGGAAGTCGCGGTCCAGTGGCACCGTTCATGCAATCCATCTTTTTATCAGACTCTAAAGAATGCAGGACTGTGGGGTTGGAATTTTTGCCAAACAAAACTCCACAGGCTATAGAATTCGGATCATTGTCTCTTTTTGAAGTATTGCCCACTGAAAAACCCGTACCACCCACAGCCGAGTTGACAGAACAGTTGTATGACGAGGATACGGCATTGGAAACATGCACATTTTCCTGGCCAGCGGTTGAGTAAATGCCCATAGGTCTTGATGTAACAGGTAGACAGCTCCTAACGGGTTGTTGTACTTGGATTGGCATTTGATGCTCCAAGGTTTGGGGAGCTGTAACCAGGTGTTGTTGATTAGCTCCTATATCATTGAAGGCCTCAGGTTGTTGGTTGTTTCTCGAATTTGCCTGAACAACTGTTGCAGTTGCCTGGACTGGAGGAGGTCGTTGATTTATTGAAGCAGCAAACTGAGGTCGATTGGCGATAGTAGCAGTAGAATGTGAGTGAGGGACTAGCAGAGGTAACTTGGTGTGGTCTGCTGGATGCTGTGCAGATTTGCTTCCTGGGGTGTTGGGTTTCCAGTAGATGCTATCCTCTCCTTCCCACAGGAGGGTAACCTCTGGCACCACTGGCTGCGGAATGCTGACCTGCAGTGCAGAAATCTGGTAATATTTCAACTTCTTAATAGTATTAACTGTGGCCTAAAATTAATTTTAAAAGCCACCCACTACTGGACAAATAATAAACACTGACAAATGGCTGTTGAGAGTTTGTAACTTAGTCACTGAGTGATAACGTATGTTTTCTTTGAAAAACAATAAGTTTACAATTTAGTCCACTTCGAAAACACCTGAAACCAGTCTAATTGTTTCATTCACCAATGCACCAACCAAAATAAGGCCACCATCCACATATATATAACCTTAAATCAAAAGATTTTAAGAGGTTTTTTCTTGTCTAGAAAAAGTAATTACCACCATAAAATGATGGGACTTGCCTACTATAGATGAATTTGGTCAATACATAAATTATAAGTGTCATTTTATGGATTGAGTCATAAGGCTGACTGCTATTTATTACCTTGGACCAGGCTGGCTCAAGTTAAACTGGTCTCCCCAGGATGCAGCTAAAAATCTATCCACACATAGTTTGATTTGTTTTTAATATTAGCCAAATGCAGCAAGTGCATGATATGCAAGTGAGAACTCATTAGAACCCCCTTATATATTTTTCGTTTATTGCAGAACAGAGGAAAACTTCTGCTTGCCAGGTTGTAAATACATTATCATCTGAGCTCTTTGTAGTGGAAAATGAGGAATTAGAAGAAATTTTCTTGAAGTATTTATGCTATTATAAAAAATATCATTAAAATCTGTAAACTGCAATGCAACACTGATTCATGCCCATGTTTATGGCCGGACTGTAAGGCCCTGATGATGTTCAGAAGGGCCATACCATGATTGAACTATACAAGGTTGACCCACGAGGATTTCCCTCTTCCAGTTCAGCTTTCTTGTTATGTCACTCAAATCGAGAAATGTAAACAATCCTGTCATTCCCATGATGGATTGGTTGACTGGTTTGATCCCATTTTTGGTGATTGGTTAATGCCCAAGACGTCACTGAGATCATTGATGTCACAGGCAAACAACAAACTACATCTGCAAAAATGAGCTCCTCATGGGTCAACCTTATACTAGTTCAACCATGAGCCATGCAACACTCCTTAGCAAGCATCAAATAAATCGAAGTGAAAGGAGGTAAACAGTAAAAATACAAGTTAATTCTCAGCACAGATAACTATGGTTGAGGAACTTCCATGGAAAAACTGTCAATCTTAATTGTAGGTATGAATTATATTTGCATTGAACAACAATAAATTAACAAAACATAAAAACCTACTACTCTGGCCTTCAGGTGCCTCTCCTTCTAATATCTGCAGTTTGATTGCTTACAGCTTCAGCATGAAATGCTGAGCTGCACAGGCTATCCAATTTAATCCAAATATTCAGCCAAATTAGCTCCATAGTAAGAATAAAAACTTTTTGCACAATGCACATATTTTCAAATTATTCAAATCATTTTAAATAAAATTTTGCTCTTGGCCAATAAATGGTTCAATTTTAAATGTGATTTTGTACAAAGATTACATACATATATAAGCTATGATTTTACAACAAAATCTGCAGGGTCAAATCAGTGAATAGTAACCTGGAGAGCACTTGGCTGAGGTGGCAGACGACGAGGGCCTTCATCATCCGCCATGTTGCTCCCAATTGTTTCTTCTTCAAAATAATTAGGAGGACCTGGGGAAAAAAAGGATGTAGATACATATAATGATATAATGGTAAAGTAGTTTTTAATTGAAATCTATCCCATGAGAAAATAATCTAACTTGACAAATTTATTTCTGTTTCAGAACCATAGAACCATACATTTGTAGGTTCTTTCACAAATTAATGCTGCATTGATACTTGCATAGACTAGCTCATCTTCCTTAATACATAGTATCAGGAGCAACTTCTTGCTTTCCTATGTTATCAGAGGCATTTGCTCACTTTTATTGTTGCACCTTTTGCCGACTATCTTAAATTATTTTTGTTCATCAGAAAAGTCTAGATCGCTTACTTCTGAAAGCCATTCTGGACAGCTAAGATAGAGATATGTGTAATATTATCATACATGACAATTTACCCTTACTTGAGTTTCATCACTTTCATGGATGTTCTCTCAGGTTTTTTTTCTCTTTCAGACTATGTGCTCTAGCAATGCTGGCGTTTGGTCTGTGTCTAATGATTGAATGAGTGAAATTTCCAAAACAAGGGCATAGTGCCAGAATATATCAATCCATGTGATTTTGATCAATCATTGGCAATAGGACCAAAAAAATCATCTATAAATATATAAATAGCACCATGGACTAAACATAGATGCCTATTAAGCCATTAAGGGTCATAATGGCTTGATCAGCCTTAATGAAAAGTTTGAACTTTGACAAGAGGTCAATTTCTCAAGTAGAATTGTTGAGTAGAATTTTTTGCTAATTATATATAAAAACGTACTGACTATTGTTTCAGGTTTCATAGGCAATTTACAAAAATTTTAAAACCATAGGCAAAATGATATTATTGATCATAAAATAAAATAGGCTTAGGCCATAAAACAGGTGAAACAGACTGCAAGCGTTTACAATTTTATTTCATCCATATTTTTGTGGCTTTCACACATAGGTAGCAACTAGCAAGAATTGACAAATGAGAGATTTTTTAGAAACCATTTCATTTTAATTTCCCTGAGGGCTGAGCCTCTGAGGCAGTGAGGCCTGATCTAGGTAGTTCAAAATTTTATTCACAACATCTTACATCTACCTATATGTTAATGCTGGTACCGGTATCTATTATAGGCGATCTACCGTAGATCATAATGACCTAGGTACCATCAACGCCACTACAGTCGCCACGCTGCAGGGAAAAGGTAATATTTATAAAAATTGACCCAATAGGGTAAACGCGGTATATTCCGTCACATTAAGGACGCATCGAGAAATGAAAAACTATAAAAAAATAACCGTATGCTTTTAATTTTTGTACACAGCTTGGAACGATCTGTGTGTGTCCAATTCAAGTTGTGATGGAATTAGTTTTCATGTGTCTAAATCCATTTCTCAACCTAATCATCTACTAATTTATTTACCACTTGAAATCAGCGAATACAAGTATACTTAAAGGATTCCTAATATATTCACAGATGTATTTAAAAGTCTCAAACCATAATATTCTTCCTATACAAACAGTTATTCACTATTTGGTAGAGCAAGGTCAACTGTCAAATTTGACACATTTTTCGATGATCTCACAGTCTCACTGGGTAGCATGCATCGTCTCTCTTTGGATCTCAATATTTTCCCACTAGATGGCCAAGACCTAGTGTTTTGGCATTAGTTCGACTCGCAAATGTATTGTATGACGTCACCATTTCAACCATCAACAAACGCATGGAACTAAAACAAAGTTTATTTAGCTTAATATAAAGCATAGCATAGTGGCAAACCAGTGATTTTTTAGAATCAGTTCATTTTTAATTTCCTCATTTACTCAAGATTTTAACAGATTTCTTATGTATGCTAAATGCTAATTCTGGTATCCAAGATACTTTACTTTTACTAGTAGTCTACTTATAGGAGTGAAAAATGAACTTGAGGAAAAGTCTAAAAAAACTCTCTGCTTTGCCACTATGAATAAAAGGAAAAACTAAAGAGGTGACGGAATTACTTACGATGACTGAATATACCGCGTTTACCCTAGGCAATAAGCCGCAATACCTAGCTACAAACGTTTCATTATCATAGGAAAATAAAATACTAGAACATTTATTAACATTGCTTTAAGATAGTAAAATGCATTTCGGACAATTAATTTGTAATTAGTTTTAAGATTTCAGATCAACATGACAAAAATTAGTTGAGCAAAACGATATTTTCATTCTGATGACAGTTCAGAACTTCAGCTGTGGGGCATCAAGGTAAACATTTAAATCGGGAAGCTTATCCCTAGACTAGAGATCGGCAATATTAACATAAAATAGATTGCCAATAAAATTCTTCTCGTAAACGCATTGCTGTTTTCCCGAACAAAGCAAACGAGTTAAAGGCCGTTGTAGATAACCGTTTTGAAGAGACTGATTTGCCTGCCGTTTCTGAAGGTTGCATTTGTTTTTCAAAGTTACCGCCGGTTGAAGTAAAACGGATTGGCAGTCTGCGGAAACATGGATGAATTAATATGTATTAATTCAACCTCATGTGCGGAAATTCTTCCAGGTAATTTTTCTGAAAATTGTTGTTAATGCGAGATAAAAATGGAAAGCGATTCACTCTAAATTCTTATATCCAGTCAATATCATGGTTGAAGTTCAACCATGAGTCATGACTCTCGTCTAGTCAAACGATTTGCACTGCATTTTGTACCATATACGCCCTGCATTTTCTGTGGTATTGATTTGGTCTTTCTATTTTACAACACTTCTCTTTAACTTCACTTCTTGTTTGTTTGTCTGTCTGTCACCTCCTGTCTCACGGCCGTGCCTCAAGAAATTCATCGTACATGGAATATCTTCCATACCACTGAACCGATTTCAATGAAACTTGGTATATAGATTTCTGACCACCTAAAGGTGATGTCTAGCACCTCCTGGACAAAACGAGGCCTGTCTCATGGCCGGTCTCACGGCCGTGACTCAAGAAATTCATCGTACATGGAATATCTTCCAAACTACTGACCCGATTTCAATGAAACTTGATATATAGTTTCCTGACCACCTAAAGGTGATGTCTAGCCCGTGTGAATTTTCGCGGTTTCGCCCGCGTTCTCGATTTATACGGTAATACTGGCAAAAATACGCATCGTACATGGACAAACTACTGAACCGATTTCGGTGAAACTTTATATATAGATTCCTGATCACCTAAAGGTGATGTCTAGCCCGTGTGAATTTTCGCGATTCCGCCCGCGTTCTCGATTTATACGGTAATACGGGCAAAAATACGCATCGTACATGGAATAGCTTCCAAACAATTGAAACGATTTCAATGAAACTTGGTATATAGATTCCTGACCACCTAAACGTGATGTCTAGCCCGTGTGAATTTTCGCGATTTCACCCGCGTTCTCAATTTATACGGTAATACGAAGGTCTCGGACAAATTTACGGCCGGACCCGCGGCCGGTCTCGCGGCCGGTAAGGTTTCTTAGTGTTTTATGGACTTTCTAGGATTTTTGTGTTTTTAATGGAACCTGTTCCTAACTGGACTTAACCTGCGAGATTTTCGTTGATTGGCTATGTTTTTTACGTCTCGGAAAAAATTTACGGCCGGACCTGCAGCCGGTCTTGCAACCGCAGGACTACAAACATAGAAAAAACCTAGCTAATCAACGAAAACCTCGCAGGTTAGGTCAATATTAAAGGTTCAATATTAAAGGTTAGGTTCAATATTAAAAAACTGGAAAAATAATTTTGATTAAAAGATAAATTAAATTAATTATAATTAAATAAATTTTGATTATAAGATTTTTACAAATCTTATAATCAATATTTAGCACACTTCTAGCTGTCCAATCTATTTGAAATTTTGCAGAATTGCGTAAAGTCGGAGACAACGCACGAATCAATTGACCGAATAAATAATTTTGAAAATTTAACTTCTTTTATGTATTAAAACCAATAAAAAATAAATTTTTTTCATATTCGAAATTAAAATCAGAAATTAATTGTACATGTTTTACATTGGAGACACTGGATTGTTTAGAAGTGTTGTCTTTAAAAATTAATTTTTAAACGTATATTTTAATGGCTCATATTTTATCATTTTATTATTATAAAACAAAAATAGCAAGTAAAATGTCACCAGTATCAATTGCCTTGCTAAATTCGTTAATTTGAAACGTTAAATATTCGTTAATTTGAATATTCTTCCTCGTTCTGTGCAAGAGGAGCGCTCCAGTTAGGCAGATCCCATCAAGCTGTAACATCGTCGATTGCTGGTTGATTACGTCGTAACAAGTCTTTAATGACGTTGAGTCGACGTCCAATGATTGCTGGGACTCAATTTTAATGAATAATGATTGACAATGTCGTTCAAAAAATTCATTTTAACAGCGTCAAAATCAAAAGAACGGAAATACTTCTGCTATAATTTTGTCGTAAAAATTTTCACGCTAACAAATGAAAGGCAGGCAATGGTAATGTTATTCGCTGTTTTCCTGCGTGATTTTATTCCATGAACACTTGACACGTCGATAGTAAATTATTGTCTAACACTTGATGATTCAAAATATTTAGCTATGTTCTTGTTTATAACATATTTTGATACCACTAATACTAGTGCTGGAAGTGCACTTCCACGCTTTACAAATCGCATAACATGGAAACGGAAAGCTTGAAAAATTGACGTCGTTAAAAATAATAAGAAATTCATCGATAATGTGGTGGGAAGTGAGATGCTATAGACATTTAATTAAATGTAAAATGAGAATTCAATTAAAATTAATGCCCTTTCAAGGCAATAATTGAAGTTATCGTGACCCAAAATGAAATCAGTGCAAAAAAGTCACCCTTTCAGAAATAAAAACAATTTTCAGATTTTTTCAGACCCGTGTAATCAAAGTTAAACTTGTAAGAAAAGAAGACTGGGTGGGAGCGCAGCCGTGGGTAACGAAATTGACTCGTAAACAGGCCCTGGGCCCAACGCCAACCATCAGCATGCAATATCTACACATAACCTCAGATCAATGAGCTGTGTGTAACTCCGGCTAACAGTAAATCCGCTTTGCACAACAAAGCCACTGCTTCAGAGCGCCGGAACACAACTGGCCGGAGCGCAAACAGGCCCTACCGCAGCAGGCGCAGGTTAGGTTAGGTTTTGTTACGTTAGGAGTGCGCCTGTTGCGGTAGGGCCTATTTGCGCTCCGACCTGTATGCGTTCCGGCCTGTGACTGAACGGCGCTTTTTGTGGCGGGCGCTCTGTGTTTAAAACCGTGAAGATGCCCGGCTGCGTTACGCTCGGGAAGGTATATGAATCGCACTGTGGACTTGGGCTGTGCTGACCTCTAGCTATCCACCCGACTGGGTTACGTTTTTCCCGGTGCATTTTTGCGGTCATTCCTGAGTGACGGATAAATGATCGTTATACGTGTACGTTTGTATGTGGAGAATAGTTGATTGATTGGCGAATAGTTGACGAATAATTGATCGATTGCGGCGAATAATTGATCGCTTGCAGGAGGCAAATAGTCGATCGTATATATACGGCGAATAACTAATCGTGTGCACGTGGCGGATAAGCGATCACTCACACATGGCGAATAATTGATCGTATGTAAATGGCGAATAATTAATCGTGTGCATGTGGCGATTAAGTTATCGCTCACACGTGGCGAATAAGTGATCGCTTGCCCGTGGCGAATAATTAGTCGTATGCGTATGGCAAATAATTAATCGCGTGCATGTGGCGAATAACTGATCGGTTGCATGTGGCGAATAAGTGATCGGTCGCATGTGGCGAAAAAGTGATCGTTTTCTTGTGACGAAAAAATGACCTGTATGATTGATATAGCCTGCATGTGACTGATCATTTGCATCTGGTGAATGTCGTATGTATGTCGTGTATGTGAGGCTCCGCTAATTTTGTTTATAGAGACCCAATCTACATGCGGTGGACGACGTCAGAGTTGCCCATCCTTTGGTGCGGAATTAAGATTCGAAGTCACCATCAAAATGAGGGCACCACACATGAGGGCAAAAATTGCTCTTTTCTTTTCATGAATTTAGAACACATTTTAAAAATCAGTATAGCACATCCAATCATTTTGGTCAACGTGGAAACTATTTAGTCCTCTTTTCGATAAATATTTAGGTAATGCAAATTTATTCTATGTTTTATCTACCCGAAAATCAGTCTACGGCCTTCTACAAAAAAAAATCTGAGCTGAGAATTAGACTTTCCTCAGT